GGAAAGAGAGTGGGAGATCCTAGCTGGATCAAGAAAAGAGAGGGAGAACAAGGAATAGGAGACCATGGTAAATGAAGACCACATGAGAAGGGGAGGAAGCAGAGAGCTAAGGAGGCCCACGGAGATCCACAAAGATACCCCCGCAAAAGACTGCTGGCAATGGTCGAGAGACGGCAGGCCTAGGGCTTAAACCCAAGTGGTGCTACACTTGACATTCTTAATCATTCAGTGAATTCATGCTGTCTGTCCCTGACTGCCTTCCCCCTCTCTCCTTCCTCCCTTTCCCTCCTTCCCCCTCCCTTTCCCTCTCCCTCCTTCTTCCTTCCTTCCCCTCTCCCTCCCTCCTTCCTCTCTCCCTCCTTCCTCTTTCCTTCTTCCTCCTCCCTCCCTCCTTCCTCCTTCCCCCTCTCCCTCTTTCCTCCTTCCTTCCCCTCCTAACTCCCCCTCTCCCTCCTTCCTGCCCCTCTACCTCCTTCCTTCCCTTCTCCTTCCTCTTTCCTCCTTCCTTCCCCCCTCTTTCCTTCTCTCTATTCTGAAGATAAAGAATCTACCTTTGAAGCTCGTTGGAGTTAGCTACAGTGGCACATGCCTGTAATCCCAGCACCCATGGGCCAAGGCAGGAAGACTGATTTTGAGGCCAGCCTGGGCCACAGAGTAAGGCATGGTCTTAAAACAGCATTTCTTAAAAACAAAAATAGAACAATACAAACAAAATACAACAATACATAACTGCAATACACTGGAATTAAAATGGTAAGGCTTCTACAGTTGTATTGGATACTGCCACCTTTTGCAACCACCTCATCCTAGAAGCCCAGACTTGATTGTCCTTATTTCCCATATAAGGGAGCTGAAGTTTATAGTTGGACTTTCTGCTCTGTTGTTGGATGAGAGCAGGGTGGGTGTGGGGCCCCGCGACCCTTCCACATGACTCATCGGTTTAGATTCACCTATGAAAATGGCACTGTGACCTTGACCATCATCCATGCTCCAGCCATGGTGCACAGTAGGAGTCACAGAGTGGGAACACAGAGACCAGGCAGCACCCTGACAACAATCTGGCACACACTCGAGGGGATGGCTATACTAGGTTTTAGACCAGTAAGTAGAGAACGATTATTGAATACATTCTGGACATGAGGGTCAGGGAAGCCTCCCAGGCTGGCTAGAGGCCAGGGAACACAGACTTCATTCTCCATGGGGACAGAGCTTTGGGGAGGCAGTGACAGGGAGATGCCCTGATCCAGGGATTGCAGGAAGAAGGCAAGTTAACATGGAGGACCACAGAGAGGCCTGCACCACTGTCTCTGGGAGATAAAGCTTTCCTGTTACCAGGTCAATCTCTAAGGCATCTGCTGAAGCTATGACTCATCTGCTCTGACTTTTGATGGCTGACTTGGACATCTGGGCCTTTTTTTGTCCCCCAATTCACATTCCTAACATTCCTTATATGTTACTCCTTTGCTTTCTTTCCCAAGGAAGGTACCCAGAATGCTGCCCGGGGTAGGTATGCAGACAGAAAAGAATACTATCTTATCAAATTGATTTTCCCCTTATGGTTTGAGGAGGAAAAGACAATTTACAAAATCCCAACTCATTCAACCCAGTCCTCTCAGTATTACCTTGAATATGCTAAGCAAGCTCCTGGCTTTTAAAAATGGGAAACTACAATGCCTTGGTTTAAAAAAAAGTTAAGTAAATAAATAAATAAATAAAAGTAAGTATGATTTATTGTTTCGATCTTGCAGCCTATAAAATGCAGTCATTTCATTCCTGGGAATGAATATCTCTGCTTGCCTGCAAGCAGATTGTAAATGTTGGAGTCGTGACCAGACATCTTGGCTTTTAATGGCCTGCAACCAACAAAAAATAAACACACAGAATTACAACAGCCAGCACAAAGGCAGACACTCTTCAATGTCCCTGGTAACATTCAGTATTGCTCTGCAATTGCTGTTAAAAATCAGGAAAATTCAGAATACTAGCCTAACAAAGTGGTGGGGTCAGCACAATAGGGAGTTCTTTCATCTTAAATTTATTTGTGTGTGTTCATGTGTCTGTAGGTACCCATGTGTGTGCATGGGTATGTTGCAGAGGCCAGAGGACAATTTTGTGTATTGTTCCTGAGGAACTATCCACCTTGATTTTTGAGGTAGGGCCTCTCACTAGCCTGGAACTTTGTGATTGGATGAGGCTGGCTGGCCAGTCCCAGAGGTCTGTCCATTTCTGCCTCCCAAGCTCTGGGGCTACAAGCCTGTGGCACCATGTCACCTCCTCCTCTTCTTCTTCCTCTAAGCAGGTTCTGGGGATTGAACTTAGGTTCTTGTGCTTGCAATGTGAGCACTTTGCCGACTGAGTCATCACCAGTACCCCACTGTAAACTCTACACACCTGAACGACAATCTCAAGGAACTCAGTCTCTATCACCACTCTCGTCTCCATTAGCAGATAGTCAACTGTGGGCTACCTCCTGAAGGTCCCACAGCAGTTACAAGGCCAGAGAGGCTGTGATCCAGGGGTTTGGATTGTCTGATAAAACAGAGACCACCTGAAAATGCCATATCTTCTCCCAGCATTCTAGGACAAATCAGGCAACGCTCATACCCTGGACAATGAGTTCATCCTGGCAAGTTTACCAAATGAAGGAGAAAACTCAGAACCATTGTGGCATCAGTGTAGGGTGGAGAATAAAGTCAAAATCTGCACAAAGAAACCAGACTGGAAGACCTTTGTACCAAGACTGACATGAGCATACACACAGAAATTGAAAAAGTGAAAGCATGCCCCGTAAAAGGTGACCATCTGCCAGGCACAGGTTCTGTGGATCCTCCTCCTCAGCTCTGGTTCATTACTTCCTTGGAAGTAGTGATTTTTTTTGTTGTTTGTTTGTTTTTTTTCTTCTGCAACATATTCTCTCTGCCACTACATGTCCCTGCCAGTCTATTGTTTGGTGGCACAATCTCCTGGGAATTCCAGAGAATGGCCTTCAGACTCCAGTTGTCACCCATAGCAGTACCCAAGTGTCATCATCTGAACAGAAAGGATGCAGACCCTGACACTGCTCTAAGAAGGCCCAAGCATCCCATGGAGGCAGACTCAAGGAAAGCTGACCTGAGGCAGGAGATTGATTACCTATTAGACTCCACTGAATGTCAAGTACATTCAATGCTTAACCTTCATGGAAACTCACATCCTCTGAGCCATGAACCAAAGAAATGCTTTGCAAAGTGTGGTCCCCAGACCAGCATCAGCACCACCTTCAGACTAGTTATAGATGCACAGTCTCTGGCTTCCCCATAGACCAAATGAATAAGATGGTTGGAACAGAACCCACCAAGGAGCTCACATGCTAGTCCCACAGATGAGTGGATGCATAAAGACATTTATGAGTCGCTTTTCTAATGATTCCCATGGGATTATTAATGTTACTATTGTTGTTAGTAGTGGTAGTGTGTTTATGTGTGCATATGTGAGTATGTGTGCATATGTATGTGTGTGAGTATGTATATGTGCATGTATGTGTGCACATATGTGTGTGCAGTATATGTGTGCATGTGTGTGTGCCACAGTGTGCATGTGGAGGTCAGAGGACTACCCTTGGGAGTTAGTTCTCTCCTTTTATCACAGATTCTGGGGCTTGAACTCAGATCAGAAGGCTTGCTCTTCTTACTGGCTGGGCCACCTCACTGTCCCCACTTTTTTCCTTTTTACATAGAAAAGCACCACTTTAAAATTGTCTTTCATTCATTTAATTTTAACTTTATGAACTTTTTTTTGTTTACCTCATTTCCAAGTCTTCATTCTCTTGGGGTACAAATCTGTACAAGGCAACGTAGGTGTTCATCTGTAATGGGTCTTTGGAAAGAGGTCCCTGCCAGAGAAGAGAAAAAAGATACAGCAACATTGAGAGAAGAAGGAAAGGAAATGGACAGGAGACGTGACTGCCATCGAGTGTCCACGTGGAGCTCTCAGGAGTCAAAGCCGACGGCTGTCACTACTGCTTCTCTCACAACCTTAGCTAACTACTGACTGACTGATTGAGACAGAGTCTCTCTTCATAGCCCTGGCTGTCCTGGAACTCATGTAGACCAGGCTGGCCCTGAACTCATAGAGACCCAGCTGCCCCCGCCTCCCTAGTGCTGGGATTAAAGGTGTGTACAACCACACCAAGCTCCTTAGCTGACTCTGAATTCTGGAGTTACACTCCACTACAAGCTATTTGAAATGCTTGGAATGTGTCAGAAATAGTCATTTTCTTCAGGTGTTTTTTTTTCTTTGACATAGTTCTTCATGAAAAATGTCAGAAATGGGAATATTTTCTTCCTATTTTTTTTCCATTTCGTGTGTGTGTGTGTGTGTGTGTGTGTGTGAGATGTGGGACTCACATGTGTGGGTGCAGGCTTACATTAGAACTCATCCTAATCACTCTTCTCCCTATCCATTGAGGTAGGGTGTCCCAGTCAAACCCAGGGCTTGCAAATAGAGCAAGTTTCTCCCATCAGCTTGCTCTGCAGAGTCCCTGTTTCTATCTTCTGAGGCTGGAATTACAAGTGAGCCTCCATGCCTGCCTGGCTTTTATGTGGGTGATAGGAATCTGAGCCCTGGTCCCCAGGACTGTGAGGTAAAAACTTCAACTACCAGAGCCATCTCCTCTCCCAAGTGAGAACATTTTCTCTGAAAAAAGAGAGACATATGAAAAGAGAGGTATGTGGTGATGTTGTGTTTCCCAAAATATTGTGCACCTCAATAAACTTATCTGGGGTCAGAGAACAGAACAGCCACTAGATAGACATAGAGGCCAGAAAATGGTGGCAGACACACCTTTAATCCTATCACTTGGGAGGCAGAGATCCATTCAAATCTCTGTGAGTTTAAAGCCACACTGAAAACAGCCAGGCATGGTGACTCATGCCTTTAATCCCAGGAAGCGAGCCTTTAATCCTAGGGAGTGATGTCAGAAAGCAGGAAGGTATATAAGGCATGAGGACCAGGAACTAGATATGGTTAAGCTTTTAGGCTTTTAGCAACAGTTCAGCTGAGATCCATTTGGATGAGGACTCAGAGGCTTCCAGTCTGAGGAAACAGGATTGTGGCTTGTTCTGCTTCTCTGATCTTCCAGCGTTCACCCTAATAACTGGCTCCGGGTTTGATTTTATTAATAAGACTTTTTAAGATTCATGCTACACAGGTACAAAATAAATTTTGCTTCCCCAAATAGACTTTTATGAAAAGATTTATTCATTTGTTTATTTAATTGTATGTGTGTGCCCCTAAGTGGATGTATGTGCACCACCATATATGCAGTGCCTGTGGAGGCCAGAAGGGGGCATCAGATCCTCTGGAGGTAGAGTTACAGATGGTTGTGAGACACCTCATATGGATGCTGGGAACTGAACTTGGATCTCCTGGAAGTGTGATATGAGGGTGATTTTTATGTTAACTTGACACAAGCTAGAGCCATTGGAGAAGGAGCCTCAACTGAGAAAATGCCTCTTTTAATCTGGCTGTAGAGCATTTTTTAAATTAGTGATTGATGTGGGAGGACCCAACCCACTATGGGTGGTGCTGCCCCTGGGCAAGTGGTCCTGGGTTCTACAAGAAAGTAGGCTAAGCAAGCCATGAGAAGCAAACCTGTAAGCAGCATCCCTCCACAGCCTCTGCATCAGCTCCTGCCTCCAGGTTCCGGCCCCTCTGAGTTCCTGTCCTGACTTCCTTCCATGATGAACAGTAATGTGGAAGCATAGTAAGCCAAGTCAACCCTCTCCTCTCCAAATTGCTTTGGTCATGGTGTTTTATCACAGCAACAGGAACCCTAACTGGGACAGAATTGGTACCAGGATACTGAGGTATTGTGACAGACCTGACCATGTGTTTTTGGGAGGATTGTGGGAGGAATTTCAAACTTTGGACTGGAAAAACCATTGAGTGTTCAAAGCTTGGTGATCTGTTCTGTGGGAGCTTGGAAGATAAGAATGTTGAGAGCACTGCAGAAAATGGTGGCTTGGCTTGTGAAGTTTCAGAGGGAAGTGTGAAGGAGCCCTTTCATGACTATCAGGGGCATTTGCTATTTTGAGAATCTGTGGTTCTTGTTAGCTGGGGCTGAAGAATCAGCTGGTATTAACAAGATACCAAGACCACTGACATAAAACCTTTGTTTTACTGGGACAATTGATGCTGCTTAGCTGGAGCTGAGAAATTTGTGGTGTTTAAGAAGAAACCAGCATCACTGAAGCAAAATCTTCTGGGAAGATTCCGAGTCAGCACATACACGCTGTGTTCCAGAGGCTGCCAAGGTGCTGGCAGTTGA